CAAACAAAACAAAACAAAAAAAGAAACGGACATCCATAATTCCTAGAGTGTTTAGAACAGATATGAGCTGGGGGTCGGTAAGTCAGTGTCATCTGAACTAGAACATACAGAGATGCTGCCCAGGGTCACTAATGTGCATGTATTTGTCCACATGGCTCTCATCCCAGCCTGCCTTCTTAATTGTAAATACTGTATAGTATTTCCACTCAGCAACAAATGAAACCTAAAGATGCTTACAGCTTGAATATGAAGCATTTTTAATTTCTGTGGTAAATATACATTTAACAAAACTATGACTTACATAATTTGTGTATTCCATGACCTAGCATTGTGCATTTTCTATCCCTGAGCTAGATTTTGTGAGTGTTTGGTAACGATATTATGTGAAAAAATTCAACCACCTGAAATGTTGAAATGAATTTGTGTATATTTGCCATGTATTTGGATGTTCCGTGAAAGCACAATCATTGTGATTCTAATGATTATTCCAAATATAAACACACATGGGTCCTTGACAAATTTTATATACATATGATAACAATCTGAAATTTAGAATTGACCTACTTAGGAAAGAGGTAACATCAATCTTACCACATAATTACTCTCTATATATTTGCCTTTCTTGCAAGATAAAACTACTGCTGAATTTCACCTCTGAAGGCCAGGGATTTAGCTCAGTGTTTCCACTCTGCTTCACAAGCGCAAGGACCGAAGTTCGACCCCAGCCGAAGAAAAAAAATTCACCTCTGAGTGAGCCACACTATACTTGGTCATGTATAAGCAGAAACAGATAAACATAGTAGGCCATTTCTCCTCTTTATAAGTAAAGATGAAGAGTAGCTTGTTCCTGAAATACACAGGTTTTAGAAGGGACTGGAATATGAAAATGTAATTTGATTATATATATATTTGACTATATTTTTGAGTGAAAATTAGATTAGAAATAACTATTGGGAAAGTCATGTTTATATTTCTCTTAACCTCTTGATACAAACAGTTGTTCTGAGGCAAACAAATAAACACAGTTTTATGAACTGAATTCTACTCAAGCAATTTTTACTCTGATTGATGTTTCCCTCTGCAGAGAACTAGTACTTTTGCTTTAGTTAACCAAAGTACTGTAATTCCAGTGAGAACAAGTTGGAAAGACCAATTGTAACTGGCCTAATATTTATGATTCCTTTCCACAGAGACAAGAGAAAAAATGAAAGCAAATTTGTAATGAGTGAAATCATATACAAAAATCAAAATTAATTTCTTTCTTAGAGATTATTATATCATCTTTCAGCCACAGAATGTTTATGTGAAATAAAGACTTTTTAAAAATGTCCTCCAATCAACCTACTAAATGTAAATTCTAAAAAATCCATGAAACAAAATTCGTAAATATCAAGGATTATTTTAATAGTAAACTTTCACCTATATTATGTGAGGATAACAAGTTTGTATTCGTATGAAAGTGATAATTAGTGAAAGACAACCTTTGCCAATTATTGAACCATTCTTCTTTAACCCTGTTACGTGCCACATTCTAATGAAATCATAGTTTGTGACTAATGACATAGCTTTGATTTTTTTGTAACAAGAGGGAGGGATTGAGAGTATTTACTTGGGGTCATCTGCTTTTGATATCACAGCAGGCTAAGAAGGTTGCACTCTGCCCTCTGGAGAGTGTGACCCAGCAGGCAGATCCAGGCCCTTGCCCTTCACACCACAGGGGCACCTGTCACAACCCGTCCCAGGCCCATTAACCCCTGCCCCTGATGCTGGTGGCTGATTCTCTCTGAATAAGAATTGTATTGGACTTTAATTTTCAGTAACAGACTCCTATAGTTTGTAAGCAGCACAAAAGACCAATCCTTTTGCCCCTTGCAAACCATTCTGTCTGGAGTCAGGAAAGAGTATAGCTCATTCATTATGCCCAGGGAGACATGATTATGCTTTGTGTGCACAACTTCTATCCCATGTTGCTCCTCCAAGGGCACCCAGCTGGGGTTGGACACTGACCTCAGTACCTTAGCTCTGCAAACCCACACAGAAATGTCACAAATGTGAGAATGTTTGCAAATAGCCACACAATAATTGTAATAAACCCTCTTTTAGAAAGGACATTTATTTTTAGTTCATTTGATTACTATTACAGTAAGTCCCCAATTTGTGAACAATCCAATTTGTGAACTTTCACAGATATAAATGGACCTTGCATTTGTTTTTTTCATGCTTTACATTGCACATTATTGTCAAAGGCATATAAGACTCACTTTGTCAGACTTATGAACGAATTTGACTTATGAATGTCCTCTCAGAATGGCAGTGTTTGTAAGTTGGGAATTTATTGTACAACGCTACCTTGCTTCATGAACTCAATTCTTTCCATGATTCTGGTTGCAAATCAAATTGGATGAGGACCGAATCAAATTTCCCCATAAGGTCAACGTTGAACCTAACCATTGAATTTCATTTGGTTCTCATCCATTCTGTTTGCTATCAGAATTATGGAAAGAATCAAGATCGTGAACCAAGGCACCACTAGTTTCTAGAAAATGTGGTATGCTTATCTCATTTCTGATACAATTATAAATGTCTAGGGTGATGAATGTACTTCTAATGGATGCTTAATGAATATAATTCTTTGAGAGTTAGTACATTAGTGTCTCCTAAATTTTCAACATTGCTCCATTCAATTTTCAATAGATTTAGTTTAATGAACAGCAACAGAACTGGCTAGAGTTTAGCATCTTTCCAACCTGTGGTTTGAGTGGTCTCATAGCATTTAGTGCAGGTTAGCTCTAAGTTTCAGACAGTTTCCTTGCACACACACCTGAGGAAGGACAGTGTGCCCGATGACTGTGTTTGCATACTTAGCGGAAGAAGCAGGCTTTTCTTGCTGCTCTTTGAAGGTGTTGGGTAGACATCTCTTCCTGTCTCTCCAGGGTGCTGTCCTTCCCTTCTCTGCCTTCCCAGTTTATCCCACAATACAGCCGCATCCAGCCAGCCCTTCTCCTTATAAAACTGCAAGAATTCCTGTATAAGATACTGCCAGTCTTACCTCCATTCTCTCCTCCCTTCTCTGTTTCAGGCACTTTTGGAGAAAAAAACAAACAAAATCCCATAAGAAGGTCTGTTGCCAGGGTGACTCGGGGACTAAGCACAGGGACTCACTGCACAGCTGCCCTGAGCAAACTTGCTGCCATCACCAGGAACATCAGAACAGAGACCTGGCTGGGCCGCTGCGAAGGAGCCCTTAAGACAGGGGAAGGTGCTGGCTCTTCCCTTGTGGGCTGCACTCTGTGGGAAAGGACAAGGCTCTGAATCTCTGATTCCAAGAGAAAAGTGGTGGTAGGAGGGAGCCTCCTGCAGGGTGCTGCTGTGGAGTGCCAGGGATGATGGATTGGAGGGGACAAATGAACAACAAGGACAGCCCCTCTGCAGCACTCCCTGTCTTTTGCTCCAGGGCCTTCCTGGAGGGGCCATAGGGGTGGACTGAGAAGGGATCTTGTGCTCTCAGAGGAGCCATTGCCTCCTCTCTCTTGGCCAGAGCACTCAGGGCAGACTGGAGGAAGCCTCCAGGATGCTTTTCCCTGGTACCTTCATCTGGAATAGTCTCTCTCTGTCCCTGCACCATTGGCCTGGGCAGGTGTCTGTCCTCACACCTGGCTCCATCTGCGGGTGCCCTAGAAGAGGTAGTCTCGCAGGAATGGTGCCTTGTCTCCAGAAGGGACCACAGGGCCTGGCTCCTGCCTGAGGAAACAGCTTCAGCAGCAGCAGCTCCCTAAAATGCTAACCTTTCCTTTTGCCATTTCCAGAGTAGAAGCATTGTCAATGCTCTTTTGTAGGTAGATCATTTTCATAAAAGGTGACTTTGACTCCAGAGTGGCCTCCATTCATTCATTCATTCATTCATTCTTTCATTCTTCACTTATAAACTCCACTTTACCAAGCAGTGACCAACAACAATGAGCAGCACCAGTGTGGTGATGGAGGCCCAGGGTCTCCATTGCTTATTTTCTTCCCCGTGTGGGCATAATCCCCATTACAAAGACATTTTGAAAGCTTGATGTCCACTTCTCATTGCAGAATAAGTCTTTCAAGCCCCATTTATCCATCCCACTGGACAACAGTCTTCCTCTCCTAGCCCTGTAGGTTTGATCCTGCCTGCCCCATGGCTCTGGAGAGATGTATGGACCAACTGCAACCACAGGCAATAACAGAGCCAATTGTGGGAGTGATTATGGAATTTAGAGCTCAGAGATGGACTGGCTCTGTGGTCACCTCTGAATGCTGGGTGGGTTACTGATCTTCTTGTGAATATTTCCTAAGATATGACCCAAGAGTTATTCTAAGGGATTTATTTAAATATGACACAAGCTAGCTCTTTGGAAAATCAGAAGTCTGCACCAGAAAGTAGGTAGGAAATGCCAGTCCATTCTCTTTTGTGGTTTTAGATAAAATGCAACAACACATGCAAATAGAAATTTTAACAGAATGCTAATATTCTTATCAAGTTACAGACCAAATAGATCTTTAAGATACAAGCATGTTAAAATTCCCCCAAACCATGAGGATACCGTAATCATCATTCCTACAGCACTCGCTTGACTAAAAATCTAATACCTGCGGTGGTTTTGTAAATCTGGCGATTATGTTGAAAGGATGCTTTTTGCATGCTGTGACTGTCTTATTTACTTAAGGATAGATTAAGTGAGAGTTAAAGATAAGCAACAAGCAGCTTTGTTATTTTTATAATACTCATTTTTAAAGCTCATGTAGGTTTGAAGCAAAGGGGGTTTGTTATCTCTGGAAATAGCAGACCACTATGCAGACACAAAAGAGCATAATTGTTTCTTCTAGAATTACACAGCTAGATGAATAAGAAAAACTAAAAGTGCTTATGTTTCTTAATTTCTCTATGCCTGGAAAAGTTCTTCTGGTGAAAGTCTCATCGAATCATTTAACTTGTAATTTAAAGGGTTTCTATCATTTTGCTTCCTCAAGGACCTCTCTACTTTTGAGAATGTGCAAACAGTCTGATCTTAAGAAGACACTTTTCGTGAACGTAAATACTAATTTATTTCCTGCAACCACATATAGTAAAACTGAGAGGACGCTTTGGAATTGTAGCACTGAGGACAAGACCTACAGATTGGGTCCTGCAGAGTGACAGCTGCTTGCCCTGGGGGACAGAAAAAAACGTGTCCCTCCTCACAACCCAGCCGTGATGTTGCTAAGGTACATTTTGCTTGTTCTAAGGAAGTATATTTTATATGCATTTCTTTAGCTATGTTTATGAATAAAATTTAAAAGGTAGGGTTTCATGAGATAAAAAAACAGAGTAAAAGAATAAGTAAGGTAGATCTCATAACATTGTAGTGTTACTACGTGTAAAATATTCTTTGCGTTAAGTCTCAGGTATATCTGTCCTGCTACAATCTCTATCACCCTCACTTGTCTGAAAGCAGAGAGATTCTGGGAGATAAGAGAAGAAACCCCACTTTCAGTAATACTCTTTAATATCCTTGAGCCATAAAAGAAAGCAAAACACTAATAAGTTCTTGGAGATATTTGCAATCAAGAAATAAAATGTAGAATTTTCTACTTTTAAAATCAATATTTGAGGATTTTTGGTTTTAGATTTTGTGTATAACAAAACTAGAAAAAAATTGGTTAATAAAACCTGGCCCTCATTAGCTTTTGAAAAATTATTTCAACAGCAGGTTTCTTTGTTTGTTCATATTTCAAGTTGATTCTGACTCACAGGATTCATTAATTTGGTAACCCAGAAACACAACCATAGATTATGAATTAGATTTTAAACAATTATTTTAATGATTTAATATTCCGTATTTCATATAACTTAAACTGATTATGCTATGTATTACATTAAAGGGGAAGATTTTATAAAAATCACATGCATGACATTAATTCTCATCTTTAAGTTTATAAATTTCCTGAACAGAGTCTATCTTGAGAAACCAATAGTGTTGATTTAAAGAAAATTTTTCTCCTTATGGTGTTAGCACTTATTTAAATGACAACTTTCAATAGATTTTCACTTAAATTATAACTCATAACAACTGATGAACCTATTTAATGACATGTATAGGGTTTCTGAATTCCCCTGGCTAATACCAGTACCTTACCTACAATGAGGACTTCACCACTGAGGGAATGTGTGCTCCTTTGCCACACCATGTGAAATACTATAATTGGAATCCATTCTACATTCAAATAGATAAATTATTAATACTCTCTGCTGCCATTAAACAAGCATCACATTTGCAGCATTGAAATTCTGATTTGTCAAGTACTGGGGGCTGCAACTATATTAAACAATGTGTCTACGTGGGGGGAAAATATTCCTTAGAAGGGGTATCTTAATCAGTTTCATGCTGAGCAAAAAAAATTGCAAACTATGCATTAAAAGATTTACTAAAAGTTATTTTTGCCAGATCTACTGCATTCTAATTCACTGCTTGCCTTTAGCCTTTCATGATAATATACGTAATCTTCCAGCCACATTCATGAGCAAAGTTGGATGTGGATTTTCACTTGTGGAGTTACATTACAATGGGCAGATTTAAGGCCTTATAAAATGGGTTTTGGATTTGTTACCGAGGTACCACAGCCCTCAGATACAGGCAGATAGGTTTTCCAACACATGGCAACCACCTTATTATAAAACAAAACAGTGTTAAGTCAAAGTACCTGATTATGATTCGCGATGGCCATGCAGCTCTGATAGCCAGGCTTATATTTAATACCTCAGAAACAATATCATTTATTTTTCTGTCTTCTCTTATCCCTAAGTTATTGGGTTTGTAGGCTTAGAAACCTTAAGCAAAAGGATAAAATACAAATTATAGAAAACACTGGAGTATGGAGAAATCAAATTACATTCTCCACGATCCCGACAAGGATGGTTCTCATTCCTCTTGTGTAGCCTGGGAGAATCCCTGGCACCAGAGAGCTTTGAGGGGGATAACTAGCCTTTGGGGTACAAGGAGAGAATTCATATCCGATAAGGAATAGCCAATTACACCAAGGGGTTAATTTTCAGGTTTGAAATAATAATCTAAATATATATATTTTTAAAACTACAAAACCTATTATTGAGAGTAGTAAAATAATTTTTTTTCAAAAGAGCATCATTAGTGGTATAGGAGAAGGTACATTTTATTCTTTGAGTAGTAGACAATCCAGATTTTTAGCTATTGCTTTAAGTTTCAAATTCATTATGAAATTATGGAATTTTGGAAGTTGTTCAGGACTTGCACATAAAGAAAAATATTTTCACCGTCAACAGAATAGAAGGCAAATTCCTGTGTAACATCAGGTTCTAATAAATCAGGTCTTTGTGGAAATTGCAATGGATGTCAAAAAAAAAAGAAGAAGAAGAAAAAAAAAAGAACCCAGAAAACACCGTTAGTGGATAGATGTGCGTAGTTGAGTGCAATCATAGTAGCTAGTTAGTTAATTTATAGCCAATCAGAGTTAAAATCACACAGACTTGTCTCCGACCTCTACTTCTATGCCCTCCTCTCTTATTAACAGGCCTTAATTCCAGTACTGACAGCCCCAAGCCTCCAACTCTAATGAACTGTCTGCTCTGTGCAGAAAGCTAGTGGTAACATAGGATGTTACAATAATGATAATCTTTAGTATTTTTAGCTTGTCAGAACTTGCACAGCTAACAACAACCAGTCTTTTACTAAAACTCTACCTCATCAAACTAACTTAATTAGCAATTCAACTCCTTATTTTTGTTTTGGATTCCCCTCTGGCTACTAATTAAAGCTTAATCGAAACCGCTGAACTGAGGTTGTAAAGAATTCATTAATATTAAAATTAGCCCCAACAATTTTTTGGGGGCTGGTACAATTTGTATTTGTTACTGTCAGGGGTTTGAAACTCAGTTGAATTGTTAAAAAAGCCACATTAGAAATTCTCAGTCTGCCATACATATGAGCTACGTGCATGGGACAAATGTCAATAGTTACACAAACAGATCATTTTTGACCAGGCAAACTTAGTCCACTTGGGTCATTTTGAAATACATGAAGCCAAAATATTACTTAGAATTCTTTTTTTTCTGCAGTTGTTCACATTGCTTTATCCTTCTAAGTGGTTTCATATTTTGGATAAAAGAGAAGAGAAAGGGCTCTGGAAAAAATTTCAAGGATTGATTTTTATGTATTATCTTGACAAGATTAATATGTTTGAAAAACGAACAGATTTAGCTCTTCACTTTGATTTTTCCATTTTTGGAACATCAAAGATTATTCTAACAGCAGTACTGGTCATTCTGAAAAGTAAAATCAAATGAATGCAAAACCCAAGTGTAGGACACACTCTTTCTGAAGAAAAAGAAAGAAAGAAAGAAAGAAATCTGATCTTTTATCAGGAATTGTTGAAAAGGAAATGTAAAACATTTTTCTATAGTAAAATGATCATGTTGGTGTAAGCCCTTAGTTCTTCTCCAGATTTCTTTTGATGGTTTAAGTAGCAAGCTTAAAACTATTAGAGTTTTTAAAGCTCACATTTAAAAAATCATTTATTAAAGATTTGGATATTTGTAAATATGCTCAATTTCAGTGAGACCACATTTTATTTTCCAGCATCTGACATGGAAATGTAACTTAGAAATGCTTTTCTTTTTAGTGAAGAGGAAATGATTTTCATAAATCAAAACCTCTTTTCATTTTAATTTTTGATATTTTAATAATTTTGTGAAAACATGTATATTTATTTCACCCTTTAGGAAAATTCCAAGTATGCAGGAAACAAACTTGTTGGCACTAAAATATACAGCAACTAATACTACTTAGCATATCTTATTAAACCTGAAAATTAAAATGTGTTTCTAAAATGCAAAACTTTATCAAAATATACATGGAAATTACACTCACATCTATGTTTCATTTAGATAACATTTATGACAAAATAATCATGTACACAATTTAAATAAATATATATCCATTTCTAAGCCCATGGATTAAATCAACAATGGCATAGAAAGCACACAATTTTAAATCTTGGTGACAATTTCCATGAAGTTATTTAAATACATTTTGACTTCTGACAAGAGGATGTAATTTATAAAACAGAACATGCCTATCAGTGGAACCTAAATTAGCATAATGAGGATACTTTCATTTCTGCAAGTACAGTTTTTGACATCCTCATGTTGAGCTCTGAGAAGAAAACAGCGTAAAAAGGTCAACATACATAAGTAGAAAATTATTAACAAAATACCTGAAAACTTTATCTGATTTGAGTACGCAAAATATATTTTGCCTTAAAAAAAAGAAAACAATTCTTCCTCAAGCTGATAAAAAATATTCCTTCAATGCAGAGAAGTGTCATACAGTGTCATGCAGTGTACTAACACACCAGAGCAGTTCTGGGGTTATCATCGCATGACAAGAAATACTGGGTGACGTTAATGTTATGCAGGTTTTATCAGTGTTTTCAGTTAATTTCTTATTGTGTTTCATATAAATAATGCTGCAATCATAAATGTAACCTTTTAAAATTGTCTTAGAAATTTCTAGTTCAAGTGAAATGATGCTGGTTGTTAGTGGAATGATTTGGTTTATATGCAGAAACATATAACACATTATTAAGAGATACTTTGTAAGCTTAAGTGACAGCAAAATTGCATAAACCACAGAAAATATTATAGCATTAAATTCCAACATGGTCAAGAAACAACAAATGAAGCCACAACTTCTTTGTACAAAATTATGTTTAAAAGTGGCAGTTAAATAAGAAAAATAATAGCAAATATATTTGAGGATTAAGTTATGAATAATTATGAATAACTTTAATTGCAGGAAAACGGTATTTCCCAGATACACCCCTGGAAGCATTATTGATATTTTTGAGATACATCTAAATTTGATGTTCTGAAGAAACTAAGAAATCATGGGACTCTATGGGATCAGATAAACACCATTGTCATTTTTAAAAACCAGACTTAAGTGCTGATTCTCAACAGAAACATCTGTGAAGGAAAATTTCCTGACACGTTGTGATGTGTCTTTTTACCAAGAAATTCCCATATTATGTCATAGAGTTTATCATGGTTTCCTAGTATCCTTCAGGAATGAAAAGCTGATGAAAATATGGCATAAAAGTGGTAGGATTTCAAGATCAAACATAACTGATGACCCAGATGTTACTGTATTTTAACTTTATTGTTTTAACTATACCATGGCCTTTAGCCTTCTTGCTAGGTCTATATTCCTTCTACTTATTTGTTATCTTAAATTAGGGTATTTCTGTCTAAACAGTGAAGAACATCTTTATCAGGGCTACATAAAACTTGCATGTTATACATGATTCCAAGTAAACATTTTATTATTTAATATATCAGTCTTTGTATTTTATGCTGATATTTCCTCCCTAGTGTATATGTCACAATCGCTGAAATTTTAATTTTAACAGAGCTACACAAATATGTGATTTCAACTTTCAATATAGCTTTGATTTTAGAAAGCATCAAAAATCTTTCTAGGATGTTTAAGACAGCATACAGTAATGACAGACAAAGGAATATATATACTCAGCAATGACATATTCATCTATTATCTTCTCATCTATACATTCATAGTCTGGAAAGTACTTTTGCAAATCTTAGTAACAAAGAAGACATCTCACATCTGATGTATATAAATTATATATATAATATATACATATATATGCCAAAAGCTGCTTAATTTTTCTCTATAGGGAATTAGTGATAAAGGGGTGAAAGATCTCTTTCTATGAAACTAATAAACATACTCTTTAAAGATTTTGATCAGGAAAATAAAAATGGTTTTCTGAACACTTGAATAATGACACTGTAATGTAGAGATACCATCAGAAGAAAAAATTGGCTTCTGCATGTAAAATGTGACCATCTCTTTATATCATAATTTTCCAGAAGGAAAGAGTGGGCAGAATGGGTAGGATGGGGACAGGGGGTGAGAACACAGAAGTCCCTTGGTGCCTGAGTGAGAACCACTTCGAATGGTTTCTTAGAAACATAATTTGAAGTGTCTTCTTGTAAGCATACTATACCCTTCAAAACCCAGTGTTGGAAAGTCACCAGTTAGGAAACATTTCTGGGGAAAGTAGAAGGGTGGTTGCCAGGAACGTGGACAAAAAAGGGAACAGAGTTAGTGCTCAATGTCGAGAGTTTCAGTTTTCCAAAATTAAAGAGATCTGTGGCTGCATGGTGGTGTAGCCATTCCAACCATGCAGATGTCCTCAATCACAATGAAATTTCACTTGAAAAAGATTTAGATGGAAAATTTCATGTTTTCTGTATTTTGATGCAATTTAAAATGTGAATAGTTTTTAAAAAGAGAGAGGAAAGCTATTATTTAAAAGCAATGTGGCTTATGTAGTGGAACCAGGACCCATGTAAACAGCAGCATCTCCAACAGCTGCGGCTGGAGGTGGGTTCTGTGTTCTAGGGATGATGATGCGGTCTGTGAGCTGTGTGTTACACTTCACCTGGAATCTGCAATCTTCCCAGGATGCAAGGACCCTATTGGACATTAGCAGAAAGAACAGAGGGGCTGGAGCAGCAGGAGTGGGAGATGTAACCCTTTTCTTGGCCGATGGCAGGGGATTCTCATGTTCTAAAGTAATATCCAGAATTGTTGAGACCTTAAAAAGACAATAAAAACTGAGATCACCAGACATAGCAGAAATGCAGTTAAAGAAGCAACTGTAAATATTGGAATTTGAAGGAATGCTGCAGTAGGAATAAAAACTCTTTTAAATATTCAAGTATAGGTGATTATTTACATTCAGAATGCAAAAAGAGAATAAGATAGCAGGACCAGGACTTCCAGAGAAGAAAGAAACAAAACTAATGAGAAAAAAAAAAGGCAGTGAGGTAGCTGTAGGGTTAATAAACTCTCTAGTGTCATGATTTGATAATATCCAAATTTCCCTGGATGAAATCTGTGATTTGCAGGATAAACACTGCGTCCTTGCAGTAGTTTGTACAGAGCAGATCATTCTTATTTCTATATCACATGTTTGGCTGTTTGAAATTCTACAGAGCCTGATTTAAAAACCTTTCTCAGGTCATTCAAAATATGTGCCTCAATTTTATCAGACCAAAATGAAGCAACCCAGTTGAGTAAAATATGTCCCTTCTGTGATCAGTTCAACAAGACTTAGCCCGTTCTTGGCATTTTACACATTACACAAACATTCAAGAGAAGCCAATGATTTGTTGTCAAAGATTAGAAGTCAAAGACTGATAGCCAGAATGTATAACAATTAGGAAGTTAACTTAATGGAATAATTAAGAAGATCAATTCTACAAATTTTCAAATGATTTGTGAATGGATTTTTAAATGGGCATTGTAACTTATATGCATTTTTGTCCCTATAATTATAAAACATGCACAAAATTGTTAAGCAAGGCTTTGCCTAATACCCCTACACACTCACTTTTTATTCGTGTATATATAATTCTGCTTGGAGTGTTCACCTCTGTCTGCTAAAGGATTACAAATAGCCCTCCTTATAGCTAGAATGCCTAAACACAGTACTATATTTTTGTTTGAAATTCAGTCTTGAAGTGAATACTTTTAGCTCTGTTTTGTACATCTAGTAGGACTTTAATAATACTTTCATTTATGGATTTGAAAGTATACTCTTCATTTTCAAAAAGTAAAAATTGTAACTGATTCTTTAACTCATTGCATTTTGATGTAATGTTGAAAATATGGATTTCTTTTATGGAAATCTTCAGAATACACTAAATTATTCCTAATGAGCCTTTTTCAAAAAGCACTAAATTATAATAATATTAAAGCAATGAACATATTTTTCTCCTTTAATTTCAAGGATATATGGATTTCAAACCTAGTTTAATAGTAAATATATAGGTCTGTGCCAATTACATTAAATTTAAAATTATCTTGCAGATTTTCATATTTCTTTTTATCTTTAAATTGACAAGGATGCACATCTTTCTTGCTCATCATATATAATTATGGACAAAAAGTTCTGAATAGTTTAAAGAATTAAATGCTAAAAGTTTGTTTCTAAATATGTAAATAAATATATCAGTAGTCACTTAATTTTTCCACTTAAATTAGTTGACAATGTACCAAATAGATCAGCCACATTGTTGTAAAGATTAATGATTTAAAATATTGATCATACATGATGCTTATTACAAAATGCCATCGTTTCTGTCAAAATTTATAAGAATTGTTATTTTAGTCAGTTTAATAGAAAAAGAGGTGTAAACCATGAAAAGAGGGGAAGACAAGGGATAAACAGAGGATATATTAATTAAGTGGTCTATAAACTACAATAGCTGTGAATAAGATTGTCAAATCTGTTTTAGTGTAATGATTTTCCAGTTGAAAAATATTTTTGTATTTAAATTGATATGTTCACTTCAACAATCTTTATTGAAAATTGTATTTCAGTGTTAAAATTAAAAAAAAGAATTGCTGTTTTAATTCTATGAATTGGTTCCTAGTTAATACATCAGTGGCAACTAATTATTATTAATGAATTATTGGTTATAAAATGCAATGCAAGCCATTACTTCTTAATCCTTTCACATATTCAGAGGACAAATACTGGTGATTTATGATTTATATCAGATGGTTTAAGTCTTTGTTTTCAATCTTGTCTACTACATTTTTTAGAAATAGCCACTATATTCAGTTACAATAAATACAAACAGGAGGAACGCAGCATTCACACAGCTGAAAGCTAAGGAAAGTATTATGCAGCTACTAATTCCCAGAGAATAGTATTAAAAGATATGCAAAGAATCCAAGAAATTATTGATCCAAAATGTACAGTGTGTATGTGTGTGTGTGGATGTGGATGTGGGTGTGAGTGTGTGTGCAAATTGTATGGGAGAGTTTCTGGGGTTTGTACCCAGGGCCTTAATATATAAGTCAGTGAGTATTGACTGGGTCTGGGCTCAAACTTATGATCCTCCTGTCTCAGCCTTCCAGAGTGCCCCACCACGCCCAGTTAAATACACTTTAGAAACAATTATTTGAGGGAACCTGTTGAAAACAGATGAGCTTGCTTATAACGTTGCAGGTCATTTCAGCCAAATAAGTGCACATGCTTTGCTAAGACTTCTTACACCGACTCACTGGCAAAACGTTCTGCAAGTTCCTCATTAGGAACACATAGGTGGGCAATTTTAACCCAAGTCCCACCTCATCTGAGTGGCTCAGGGATTGAGTCATGTTTGGTATTTACAGGAGGGCAGTTTTTACTATTGTGGGCTCCAGTGTATCAAATACAAACAAGCACAACAGAAGGCAGAGAAAGAAAGGGATCGGACACCCTTGAGAAGCAACCCCAACCCAAGTGTGCATCACCTGTGTATCAGTAGCTATAGGCACAGAGTGGAGGACACAGCAGGAATAGCTCCTTAGTCAGACACAGGGACAGGTGCTCCAGAGACTCATGAGTCATATTTCTAGGTTTTGTTTCTTATTAGAATATGTGGTGAATTAGAATCATCTATTTTCTTTAATTTTTTTTTTTTTTTCCTTTTTGGTACCAATGATAAAACTTGGGACCTTGTGCTTGGAGGCAGGAGGCAGAACCACAGAGCAAAACCCCCAGCCCTTTCTTTAGCTTTTATTATCTTAAAATTCCCAATGGTTCTAACAAAGCTCACAAATCCAGTGTTCCCAAGAGAAAGAAGAAAAAGTAGAAGAGAGAAGGACCTTAGTTTAGGCCTCTTAAAATGCAATAAGTTCTGTGTTGGCAATGGCAACATCAGGTTGATTAGCAAAACTTTTCTTGGTGGCTAAAGTCGTGCAATGAGAAAAGTATGTGGAAGAGGGATATGGATCAGAGAGAGGGCGAGAAGAGAGGAGAGCAGGGGACTTTTGGAACATTCATGACTATTTATGGTGCAGATGGGCTCAGCATGCTCTGCAGAGCACACCTGTGTGGCCTGCATTTCAGGGAGATCCTAATCATAAGCAGATAAGGGAGAGATGTTCCAGGCCAGCAGGCAGTGCCCTGGCAGCGGGGAGTGCCAAATTCTCAACATTTCCCAGAGAATAATAATATCCACAACTTCTCCAGCGCCTTTCATCTGAGGGAGAAAAAGGAGCAGAGTGGGGATCTGGGAAGGAGGTGCTATCCAGGCTCTGATTCGCAACTACTCACTGGCTTTTCCCTTCTTTGCAGTTTCTATCCCATGTCTGGTCTTGCAGAAAGGCAATCAGAAGAGAAAATCAAACTATTGCATATTGAATTTCCATAAGTGCAACATTTGATTAGAACTCAATTTGCCGACAAGGTAGGATTTCCTAGGACTCCAGCCACAGCATGATACTTAGATCCTAGTGAGTACACGAAGGTACCAGCTTGTGTCCTTGTCAACATCAGGGTCTCCCTTTCCCATGTCCACACAACTATCTTCCCTTCTTTTTCCGCCCAGATCACAGCGATGTCCTTTTAGCTCTTATGGAAGCAGTTCTGAAATGATATTTTGTATTCCTTGCGTTTTGTTGTCCTCCTGTTCAGTTCTGCAGGTTGCATCTTTCTGAAGGCCATCTCCATCTCTTTCATGCTGATGTGCCTTCCCAACCTCTTCTTGGCTGCAGCTTGTCAGGGATAAGCACTTCACCTTAGGCACTGATGGCAGAGACAAACACTTGTGCTCACTCTAACCTAGCATTAAAGGCGAGAAAGCTTTTCATGAATGGATGGAGGTGTGGGTACTTACATATAAAAAATAAAGATGTGTGGTTGATGGGTAGATAGTGCTATATTTGGTTCCAACCTTTGAGTTTTAAGCCCAAGTACAGAGAAAGACTAGCATGTCAATTACATTGCTTTTGACTCTAAGTTTTAGAAAACTACAAGGCGCTTCTATTTCCAGAGGAAGAAAGCCAGGGTTGGGTGACCAGTGTTTCTCAGGGAGTCACCATCCTGAGGGCCAAGGTTCTTCCCAGTACTCTGCTGTGCTTTCTTGAAGGACAATGACCATTATGCACCCGATTTGATCATAATTTGTATTTTTTCTCAATAAAATAGAACATCTTGAATCATTCTAATCTAGATAAGCATTTATCTCAACTTCTATCCTGAGCCCTGGGTGTGCTGTTCTACCCTCAATCCTGAATGTACTATTCCTATCCTGAATCTTGGGTGTGCTGCTCCTATTCTGAATCTTGGTTGTGGGGTGCTCCTATCTTGGCTTACAACCTGAAGGTTATGAGTCTCCCTTTTCCATCAAAGAGTAGATGGATTATTTTTATGCCCCAAAAGCTGTTTTTAATTTTATTTCTTTTATGCCATAAGCCCAGAGTACCTGTCCTTTCCAAGAGCCCTTAATCTCTAGGCTCAAATGACCCAGAACAAGACCTCTTGCCCCCTGGCCATGACAGGACAGGAGGGAATCCCAACAAATATGGGAGTTCAGATCCTTTCCTTACAAAGCCCATTCCTGGTCCTCCCACTTTCAAATTGCTGGCCATATTATCCCCACCCACCTTTACAGCCAGGAAAATTGGGGCAGGCGGTGGTGGGGACTTTTGTCTTTGGAGCAGAACCGGGGTCTACGCCTGGGTTTTTCACTAAGGTCTACATGGGAACAAAACCCAGCCTCATAAGACAGCTCTTCTTTTCTTTCCTGGAGGTATGCCCTACCACAGGCTCTGGGAAGGCCAGAGGCTCCCTGGGAAGGATCCCTGAACTACTGGCCACTTAAGTGCTTGGGGTCACAGTGTCTCCTGGGAAGTCGCAGCCCCCCCCAGCCTCCTCCTCCCCTAGTAGCTCCTACAGCAGAACCCCAATGCAGTCTCACCCTTGGATTCCTTGGTTCTGTGCAGGAGGAACACCCACTGCTGCAGGACCAGGCCCTTTTCAGGCCCCATCAGTGGCCTACAGGCCCTGTCACAGGTGTGGGAGTGTTGCTCCCAGATTTACACCCCATGGTCAGGAAAGTCAAAACACCAGGGTTCCCCCACCCTGCATGTTAAACTTCTATTTTCCTGAGCTCATCTTTTTGTTTTGTTTTGTTTTAGAGTTGCCAGCTGCACTCTTTGGATTCTGTTTCTGCAGGCGCCTCAGATCTCAGGTTGCTAGAGGTGGTGGAATTGGGCCTGGGGATAGGCAGGTGTCCAGAGTACTCTAGCTTCAGAGCTGGTGCCTGCTTCAAAACCCTGACAAGTTTTAATTTTGTCTTATTTTGTTAAAATCAAATATATTTTAATTGATATAAACTCATAAAAATTGTACACACTACAGGGCACCATGCGACATTTTCACATACAGGTTTACATTAGGTTAAGTAAATCTATCTTCTCTTTCTTTTTTAATTTTAATGTTTTTCCTCATTGAGTTTATTGGTACATTTTAGGTATACAGCACAGTTACATTCATCATTAGGATCTTGTACCTTTACATGACAGGTCTTGGTTCTCATTTTTTCCCCATACCCCTTCCCTCCCTTCACCCCCTCCCTTCCCTATTTACAAACACTTTATTTCCATTTTTTCATTTTCTCATATTTTTTCTTTTCCCTTATTACCTTTCTTCTACCCTTCCCACATCCCCTACACCTTTAGCCCTTTTCTTCTTATTTCACATTGTCAATTATATCATTGCAATCTTATGTACCATTATTGTTTTTCACACCAGAGAAATTTTTCCATATTTACACGTGTGACTTATTTATTTTACTTAGGAGTATATCTTTAATATATGTCCATTTTCCTATGAATGACTCTAATTTCTCATTCTTTAAGGCTGAGTACTATTCCATTTTATAGAAAAACCACATCTTCTTTATCCAGTCTCCAACCGATGGGCAAATGGGCTGTTTCCAAGTTTTAGCTATTACGAACTCTGCTGGGTATCTTTCCAAAAGAATTAAAAGAATCATATCACAATGATATATGCACATCTATGTTTATAGCGGCACAATTTGTAATTTTTATTTTTATGAGTCCATATATGTAGTACATAATGATCGGGGTCATTGATAAATGAGCATAACACTCCTTCATTCTTTTTACCTCCTCTTTCCTTCCTTTCCCTCCATTTCGTGGTCTCCTCCATTGCAAAAGATCTGTCTGTTTTCTATTATCTGTCTTGTGTTTTGCTCTTTAAATTATTTATACTTTCAATTTCTTGTGTCATAGTGAATCTTCTGTGTCTGATTTATTTCACTGAATATTGTGGTCTCACGGTGCATTCATTTTCCCACAAATTACTCATTTTTCCTTTACAGCAGAGTAATTCTTCAGATCATTCTTTTTATTTTGAAAAATTCTCAAAATTGCTTCTTCTTTTTCAAATGCACAGTGCCTTAATGTAATCACAACATCAGAATCCCCTTCTTAAAGAACATCATGCAAGATAGGAATAAGATAAAGCCTGACATCCAGTGGTGTTGTTGAACCCCACTTCTGTTTGCTATCCCTCCGTGATTTTCCTGTCTTCCTCTCAGCCTTTACCTCCTGTGCAGTTTCCAAGAAATAGACACAAAATGCCTCTGTTAGAAGTGCGTCTCCCATCTGCCACCCACAGGTGTGGGGCGGGGATTTGACTCTCCTGTTGAGGAAGAGGAAGCCGGAAGTCAAGGTGAATTTCCTAAATGTGGGAAGCTCTCAAATTGCTGCCTCATGGGCCTCAGCACCACGCCTGGGCCACTTCCAGCTCTGCCTGTGTGTTGCACTTGATCATTTTTCACAGATTGGAAGCCCACGTGGGTGGGGAGAGTTTCCAAGAACTGGACTGCTTTTAATCTTTTTCTTTTCCCCATTAAGTTTATTGGTACATTTAAAGCAAACAATAGAGTTACATTTATCATTGGAATCTTGTACCTTTATGTGATGTACCTTGGTTCTTGTTTTTTCCCCATACCCCTGCCCTCCCTTCACCCTCTTCACCCTTACCTCTTCACAAAGACTTTGTTTCCATTTTTTTCCTTTCTTTACATTTTTTCTTTTCCCTTATTTCCTTTCCCCTCCCCTTCCCACTTCCCCTTTAGCCATTTTCTTCCTATTTCACCCTCTCAGTTATACCATTTGAACTTATTTACACTTTTAGTTTTTCACATCAGAGAAATTCAGTATTTACTTGTGTGTCCTATTTATTTCACTTAAGAGTATAGCCTCAATGTGCATCCATTTAGCTATAAGTCTTTCTAGTGTCTCATTCCTTTTGGCTGAGTAGTGCTCCATTTTATAGAAAAACCACATCTTCTTTATCCAATTTCCAGTTGAGGGGCATTTGGGTTGTTTCCAAGTTTTAGCTATTACAATCTGTGCCTCTATAAACATGGGTGCACATATATCGCTGTTGTATGATTCTTTCAATTCTTTTGGAAAGATACCCAGCAGAGGAATAGCTGGGTCAAATGGAAACTCTAGTCCCAGTTCTTTCAGGTATCTGTATATTGATTTCCACAGTGGTTGCACCAGTCTGCACTCCCACCAACAATGGAGAAGGGTTCCTTTCTCCCCACAACCCAGGCAACATTTGCTATTGGTTGATTTCTTGATAACAGCCATTCTTTGTGGGGTGAGGTGGAATCTCAGTGTTGTTTTCATCTGCATCTCTCCAATGACCAGTGATGTGGAACATTTTTTTCATATATTTATTTGCTGCTTTTACTTCTTTGTCTGAGAAATGTCTGCTTTTAATATTTTCAAAAACCCAAGGGGACATCATGTTTTCTTTATAGGGGGACAGTTGGCCAATTATCTTCACAAGTGTCCATGCCAGCCTACACATCCAGGAATGGCCCATCTACCTCTCCAAATTGGAGATGAATTAATGCTTTTATAAGCCATTACATATATGGAATTTAACTTTGAAACAGATGACAGGTAGATAGATTAGGAGAAAATTAATTTTAAAAAGTATTTATTGAAAATTGATCATTTATGTCAGGTTTGCTGATGTAAACCTATAATTAAGAACTTTAAGAACTCCTAGAACTCTGGGAGGCTGAGGCAGGAGGACTGCAAGTTGGAGCCCAGCCTTGCCAACTTAATGACTCAGGGAGACCTTGTCTCAAAAACAGATAAAGCATAGAAAAATAGGGCTGAGGAGGTAGCTCAGTTTAAAGGCCCTGGTTTTGATCCACAGTACCACACATACAGAAAAGATCATTTGCTAAACCTCTGGGATGAAGAAAGACGATATACTATCAAGCAGAAAGAGAAGGAAGTGATTTTGGAGAGATAGCTGCAGGGTGATCAGAGATGGGGGGATCCAGGAAGGAAAGAGCCCTTGACCTGCCTGTACCGAGTCCATGATCAAGGGTTGAGCACTGCCTCCTGGTGTGAGTGTGTGGGTGACTTCACTGCTGTCCAGGGTTTGCTCTCAGTCCTACCAGCCAGTCCTGCCATCTCCAGTCACAGCCAAGCCACCCCTAGATACAGTTTGTGAGGGGACGCTGGGGTGTGCTGTGCAGCAGCCCTGAACCAATAACCCCCATCCAGGGTACCCTAAACCCTCCCTGTGAGCCCCAGGGAAGGTCCCCACACCTCCACCTTCCTTGAGGCTCTGCCAAATGCAAGCAATAGTAGCCAGCCGCTTTGCTACAGAAACTCTGGATAAGAAGCCCTTTACTTGCTCTCCTTTGCTTGGTTGGTCTTCTTTTAACTTCACATTGTTAATGGTATTGATTGTAGACACAGAAGAAGCGGAGGAAGAGGGTGATACAGAACTTTTGGGACTAAAGGAGAGAGAAAGACAAAGGAACCATTGCCTGACCCAGGGGAACACACAAGAAAATCAAGGGCTTTGGACAAACTGAGTCTAAACAAGTGGTCAGTAGAATTTTACAGCATATGTAAAGTTCTTAGATTTTAAGACTTATTTAAGGATTTTTATTGTTTATGGATGTAGGAACTTCACACTTTATCTCACGAATACTCAAAGCAAAGTTATTTGTAGATATTATCTTTCTAATACTTAAAATGAAGATTAAAAAAAACAACAACACAGCAATGGATAAGCGGAGGTCACAGAGTAGACCAAGGTGAGAGTATAGGTTAAGTCAGGCTGATGCCCAGCCCATGTGTTCAGTCATCACCATGTCACTCTGGCTGGCCAAATATGTGGGTGTGAACTTCAGGTGAAGGGAACTGAGTGAAATAGCTGTAGAGTCAGGAATCAAAATTGGAGAAGGACTTTTGTGCCCTATCATTAGCTAACACCATGCTTCCTACCCTGGGGTTAGTGGCCCTCCATGACTTTTTACAGGTCAAATATTATCAACAATGCTAATGGTATCTTTTTAGAATGATATGAAAGGTAGAGCTTCACTTTGTACAGTCCCTTCTCTCATTATCTGTCTCATCTGGTTCCAGGAACCTCTGGATACCAAATCCCTGGGTGCATAATCACTTCTATAAAATGGCCAAATGTTTGCATCTAGCCCAGGAAGAGCTTCCTTTATAATTTAAATCATCTCAACATTATTTGTAATCCTTACTATGAGGTAGATGACACACAAATAGTTGTTATACCCCATTGTTTAGAAAATAATGACAAGGAAAAAAATTCTGTACATCTCAGTACAAACTCATTCACTGTTCCTGAAGTTTTTTGATCTGTGGTTGATTGATATATATGCCTTTCCAGTCTGATGTTGGAACTGTGGGATTTAAGCAACATCATATGCAGGAAAGGACTTTGTGAATTGCAACTGCAATGTTGAGGTAAGATTCACTCAAAACAACAATGACCAAAAGAGTTGGTTTTGAATGATTTTAGAAGAGGTGTCAAATTTTAAGAAAGTGTTTTCATGTACCTACAGCTCAGTCATCCTGTCTAAAATCAGGTGCGTCAGTCCTGTGTGCAACAATACGGTGTACACACAGTCAAGTTGGGACCTGGCTCTGCTGTTTGTCATGGTGTGGCCAGAAGGGCCTGGTCTGTGTGAGGGCCCTTCTTTATCTGCTAAGGGGCCAGGTGCCTTTGTCTATTCTGCCTCCGGGCCTTCTCCTATATTCCCAACAAGGTAATGTATGGGGAGTGCTCTCACTGTAAATGCCCACATAAATGCGAACTGTTACAATGTTGAATTTGAAAGGTGCTGTTTAAGTGCCACTTACTATTATTGTGGTTATTATTATAATTGAAGAGTATAATGGATTTCAGCAGCTAAAGATACAGATATACAATCTTTTACCACCAATCTCCCTGGGTATTTCACTTTAATAAGCACACTCCCTTTCATCTGAAGCTCTATGTTGATATAATTAACCTTCACCATATCGTGTGCTTTGCTTTTAATTCTGGATACACAACTTAGAATTATTTCACTGCACTTACTCCTTTAAATAGGCCTTATTTTATTTCTAAATTAAATAGCATTAGGGAACATGCTACCAGGCACACCATACTTATTATTTTTACAAATATATTATGTATGACTTAATATCTTTCTATATGCCTTGCTTTAACTGTGACTTAATGGGAATAAATATTTTATTTTTTAAAAAAATATTGTCAATGATGAAGAAAGGGAGGGGACATACTTCAGATTAAATGCTCATTTGGTTTACCTATGGCATTAACCAATTCAATTTTCAGCAAGGAATGTGTAACACTATTTTGTCTCTCATCTGGTATTTATTTCTCAAAATAAGTATTTTATTCTATTGGAAGCATTATCTGCTGATTTTTATAGACATCAAGTGAGCAAGTCACTTGAGCATATACCGCCTTCACGGCCTAAAAATCTCAACCTTCCTTATTAATTCATTCACCCTTCAACAACAGAGTCCTCCAGGGACTGCACTTTGTCAGGCGTTTCCAGGGCCCCTGTGGCAGCAAGTGACAGGCCCGCAACGCAGCCTGTTCCTTTGCCCAGCAACCATGCTGCAGATCCCACCACATGGCAGGATCCTAGCTGCTTTAGGGCCTGGGGTTTGCATTTTATTAGCCCAGACCCGGGTGGGGGGAAACACTTGAAGGTTGTTCCCTGGTTCCTGCCCACAAATGCAGGCAAAGCTTCTCATTGGCCCAGCCTAATAAAATTCTTCACCTCTGGGCAGATCAGCTGGGACAGGGGGTAATGCAAGGGCCTGATGGGAAAGGTCATGGTCAACCTTTACAGCCACAATAAGTCAGGCACATAACATCGTGCAATGGACTTTGAGTTCATACAATGCTTAAAATTTATTTGGGAAGTCTTCCCAATTGCCTACTACACAAAGTTGTGGGAACATCTGTGATGGGATAAGGCTTTCACTTTAGATACTGTCTGCCCGTTATGTGAGGTACGACGTCATGTACTCTGACACTAGCACTGCTATCCTCATCTTATAGCTCAGAAGCCTGCAGCTCTAACACAAGAGAAAATTGGCAATCTTGGGCTCAGAACCAAACCACAGATTGCTCTAGAGTGAAGTCTGTGGCCTAGTCACCACTAAAATTTTTAAACAAAATTTCTATCCAGAATATTTGCACTTAAGTAGGATCCAGCCCTCTAACTCTTCAATATCTTGGAGTTCTGTTTCAGGGTTAATCCACTTTATTTGTCCAGCCTGCAGCAATCATTAGAAACAGATGATGATGGCCACACTGCTTGCAGCACATCTTTCTGAGAACATTTCTCCACCCTCCCCTCTTGTATTATATTCATATCCTTTGACAAATGGTAACCCTCACACACACTCATTAATCCCAAAATTTGTCCTCATACACTAATTTTTATGCATAGTTGTACTTAAAATAACTCTACTGTAGAATACATTCAATGATTGTATATGTACAGCAAGAGACAATGCATCATTCAGTTTCTTTTTCTTTATAAGATGCTACTTTTCTACATAAGCCTGACAATGAAAACGAATTATTTTAAAACACCATTCCCTGACACTTTAAAAAAATGCATAGGTCCAATATGCATTTCTAACTTTTTGATCTATCATTATCAGAAAAGATGTAGCATTTAAAATGTTGGTACAGAAATCAATAACTATTATGATGTCTCTTCTGGAGACTAAATGACTATCATCAATGATTGCCTATATGTAAGATTGCACTGTTCATTTAGCTCAGGGAAGTAAAAGACTTTAATACCTCATTCAGAGTAAGCACCTCTCTAAAAGGTAAAGGTTACAAATGTGCTTTAGGGATGACAGAGAATAGAAGTTTTGCCCATACTTATCATAATGGCTTTTATAGATGTGTATTGGGAGGAGACATTTTGAGGTGAGGGGCAGGGGCCCCCAGAAGGGAATCCCAGCTCTATCTTTGATAGAGCATGAGGGTATTCTGTACATCTGGGCCTCTGGGTATATTCTGTGGCTGATGCCGTAACTCCTCTGGAGAGTAGGGCATAGAAACAGGCCTTTAAACAGAATTTCTTCTGTTAAATTCTGTTGCCTGGACATAAGCCCTACAACTGATGATCTGTACCCTTCATCCCAAGCAGGGCCTTGACCCATATATCATCTCTGTCTCCCTGGCATCACTGTGGCCTGAACCTACCTGGTATCTTTTCTGTTCTCCTCATCCTGGTATCTGCAAGCTCTAGGTGTGTTGGTAAACAGGAGGGCCACAGGGCCTGAAACACAGAAGGATGGTGGCTTAGCCCTGGATTCACAGGGTTACCTGCTCTGTGAGTTTTTGAATGACTTGACTTTTCTCAGACTCTGCGATATTATTCATAAACTAGTGATAGTTGTACTTCCCTGCCATGGCTGAAGTTAGGGTCTAAGCAATTTAAAAGATATTTGAAAAGAAATTATTAGAGTGTGTATAAGGTATCCAGCCTTTTGCCTGGCTGGTACTCGATAGATGCTGTACATGTTCTTTTTGGTTTTGGTTAATTAAATATAGGTAGCACGATGATATTGTTCACCAAGCCATTGCATAGATCCTAACAAACAAGGGTGAGAAGCATGGGCTCCCTGAGGCCTTAAACCCACCAATCACAGGCATCTGCACAGTCAGCCCTGGGTGGAGCCAGGAGGGAAGTTGCTAGCTGCCGACACTGGGGGCATCTCCCAGCCAGGGTGGGAGCTGCTGTTGCAAGAAGAAGAGGGCACAGCTGGTGGCTGGGTGGGGAAGAAGAGCATTTGGGACAGAGGGAACAGCAGGTACAAGGATGTGAGGCAGGAGGAGGAGCTCAGGCATGGAGAGAAAGGGACAATAGAGGGAGGGTTGTTAAAGTAGGATCTGGGCTTGCAGATCGGCTTTAGGTCTTGGTGTGGTGGGAATAATAGAACCCATTTGAAGACTTCCTCCTGAGGATGGGGGGTCTGACTTGCATTTTTAGGCCATCACTTAGCCTCTGCTGTGGAGAGAGGATGACGGAGACACAGCTTCTCAGAGTGCTGACTCTCCACGGACTAGTTAGTTAAGCAGGCGTTGTGGACTAATTCTTTGAGCTGCTATTTTCCTGTGAGAAAGTGGGTAACTTGGGCTACAGATAAAGAGAACACAGCAAAGGTAAACTCAGCATGAAATGGTGAAGGATCAGACACAATTGAGGTACCCCAAGCAGTGATCTATGTAGTCAGCACTGGCACTGTGTCTACACTGTGTCTAGAATCCTCCCCGCTCTGCTGTGGTACCCAACTTCTTCCTCCTTCCCAGAAAGATATCTGAATCTTCAGCCTAGAGAAATTGAACACAAATTCATTTGGCAGCAGAATTTGGACTGAACAGACCCAAGGCTACTTATAGTCTTTCTTTACTCTGCTTGCTTTTAATATTTTGCCACAAAATTATGTCTGCATTTTATTACCCTAGACCTCACAGGGAGGTATGTAATATGTAGTGTACATATCATATTACTTGTGCA